ATATATATATATATATATATATATATATATATATATATATCACAAAAGATTGAAAACCCAACAGAAATTACCTTCACAAAAGGAGGTTCTCCAGGTGCAGGATTCTGGTAAAATGTCCCGGCCATTGGAGACTTAAGTGGTGGTGATTTACTGCTCTTACCAGAAGGAACAGGAAGTGCAAGGGCTGAACCAGAGGAAGAAGCAGGACTAGCAGGCACAGGAGGAGGAGGAGCAGGCTGAGAAGGTGGCATCTGTTGGGGAATCATGTATTGAGTAGGAGAATGCATCATAACTGGAGCAGGAGCCGGTGGTGGCTGAGGCAAAGCTTCTTTCTTCCTTATTGTAAGCTCACAATCGAGTTGCTTCATTTGCAGTTCCATGATGTCTCTTGAGTCTACAAGTCTGCAAAATCAGATATTTCAACACAATTGTTCACATAATGGTGAATTATGAAAAATTCATAAAGTGAACATTCGTGTTAATGTATGTCTGAAACTTCTTGTTTTGGTTGGTGGGACTGAAGCCAAAATTCCAGGTTGTGGACCGAATCTTTGGCTGGTCTCAGTGAAGTATCTTAAATTAAGAAATAAAAAGAAAAAGAGGGACTTGAATTTAGAGTTTAGACCCAAATCTCTTAGGGTATGTTTGACAACCACTCATGATCCTGATATTTAAGGATAATATGAGATTTATAGTCATCATGATCTTTCAAAGGCCAAAAACCATGTTTGACTGGCTAGAATCTTCTCACCCAAAATTCGGATAACCGCCTATTATCTAAATCCCACAAAATTCAAGTGAGTTGAATTTTGAGGGATTCGGTTTCTCAGTTACTGAGTCCAACATGAATTAATTTGGATTCCTCATACCCTCCCCTCCCTGGTCTTGACAGCGATCATGCTAGGAAACCAACCCCCACTGCACACCGCTAGGGCACCTTGCCTGTCCCTCTCTCTCCTTATTGCCAAATCTCACCAAAAAACGATTTCTGGGAGCTGAAGTAAAGAACCTACTTTTCTTCTACAACAAATGAAAATTTTAGGGTTTGGCGATATGGGGAAGCTTCAACAATGATGGTGTTGCACCTTTCTTTCTCTTGCGAGACCTCACCAATAAAAGATTATAGGACCTGAAGCAAAAGAACTTGCTCGTCTTTTTTAAGATCTACAATAAAGAAGGTTTAGGGTTTTGTTGATAAGGAAAGCTTCTAGAATGGCAGTGTTGCTGGTAGCTAGGGCATGGAGTTCTCCCTCTTAAATCTCCATTTTTTCCGCTGGCCCTTCCAATTTTGATGGAAGTTTACTTTTATGATTTTTCAGCTCTAGAGAGAGAAGAAGAAGATGCTAGGTGAAATCAGATTGTATTGGGCTCAATATTATGTTGAGTGACAACTCAATAATTAAAGCTCTAGGACCTTTCTCTTTTCTCTCTCTTAACCCACATTAGTGCACCCTTCTCGACATAAGAAAATCTATAGATGGCGTTCTTCTGAAAGGAAGAATGTCTCTTTTCAATACTTTACACTCACTCCATGAATGCCTTCAGATCAGGGGCTTCTTCACAGTGAGTTTTTTGGCTCAAAATATCATTTTCATGGTTTTTATTTGCAACCTGTACATTGTAACCTTTTTTTTGTGTGCGTGTGAAAAACCCATTTCTATCTATGGGTATAAATGTAGGTATCAATGCAAGTTGAAATGATCAATAAAGCAAGATGTTTCATTACCCTGTAATTGGGAATCCTCTAATGTGGATCTACTGGGTTATCCATACTTTTTTCAGTGTGTGAAACAGTGAAAATAATAAAGCAAACTTATTTATTTACTATTTTAAGATCTATGATTGTTAGATATCTGCAAAACCCTCCTTTTACCGAAATGAGAAGCGCTTGTTGTCTTTGGCATAGTTTACCCCACCTGAGTAACTGAATATATCTATCTTTTCCGCTCATTCTTTTGGATCATTGAAAAACAGTGTTAGATCTATTAGGTGATCTAGAGTCATTAGTATATTTTGGTACTTGTGAAAAACAGATGCTAGTCATCATAAGGATATTGAGACTTCGTGGGGGGATTGCAAGTAGCTATACTTTCTGCATTTTATCTGTTTCACAAATTCTATACGGTTCGAGTTTTGGTTTTCTATGCCCTTCAAATCCCATGAACTCATACAAGAAAATCGAGATGAAAGCTTCAATGGAGGGGAGCAGGAAGCCAAGTGCAATATAACGATAGTGGAGGGAGGCAGTTGGAGGATGGTTGGTTAATTTGGAAAGAAAGGACAAGTCTAAAGATCTATGCACTTGCTTAGACCAATAAATTATAGTTTTGATAGCAACAGTTAAAGTTTCAAATTTATAAATTTTTAAAATACAAGTAAACAATCAAACATATACAAAAAAATCTCATATTAGGATAACAAATAATTGAGATATAAGGAAAGCCAACAATGCCATTATCCAAATATCAAATTCTGAATATTTAAATATAATTTAGAAATAAAAGTTATTGATTCTGGAAAAAAGTCCAAAGCAAAATATTCAATTATTGCCTTATTAGAAGAAGAAACTAGATTATTTGATTTTGATTGATTCTAGCAAAGAAACAGATGAAATTCAGTTGATTCCCACCAATATTCCACACATAATGTTCAACAAATGGACGGCCATTATATCTTTTCAGGTTTGGCATGGGGCAATCTTGAAAAGACATTTTCAACTATATCAAATGATTATTGCAGCATATTCTATTCAACCAAATGGATTAAGACCCAATATAGGATATGTTTTCGCATGTACTCACTTCACAAGGTTTGCCACTTCAGCCATAAAAGCGTTTATGGAGGCCTCAGAGACTGTTTTCTTTGGACTAGTCTCCTCAGCTGGCTTGATGTCTTCATCTTTAGGCAATGGCGAATCTGACTTCTTGGAGGTGGTTGGCACAGCATTCGAAGCTTCAACAGCAACCTTGCATATGGTGAAGAAAAGCTCAACAAGCAAAGATGAATCTTTATTTCTTTTTCCTTTTGGGAACTCAATACAACCAAGAAACATAATATACGAAAAAAGACCAACATTATGTTCAGGAATTACCTCATTTAGTTGGGCTCTCCAAACAGTTGACAGGATCCTATTTGGTCCCTACATAGGCAATGAAGGTTTAGCAATGAGAACCTATAGAAGAATAGCATTCAAGATGTTTAAGCCACGAAAGAAAGGCACATTGTTCTCCATTAGCAGGATCCAAAAGCAAGAGAAAAAGACAGCATCAGGCTGGATAGGAACCAGTGTTACTAAAATGGACTAGATGGTTGCTTTGATTTCAATGGAACCTGAAACTAGGATTTCGGGTTAGAATGAGGAAGAAAGCAATACCAAACCCAAAAAGTGTAGTGCAGTTAATATACCCAACTATCTCAGAGTAGTTGGATCTAACTGGGTACCTTTTCTTTGAACTTTTTATTTTTCTAACAGAAAAGGCCACTAGAAAAAATGGGGGATTAAATCAATCCACATCCTTCCTATATATGACATGATAGTTGCTACTGCACCAAGCATAAAATAATGCAACAATAAGCAAAAGTAAATCAGCAGCTGATTATCAAATAAGCACATTGTTGGACTCCAAAAGACCAAAAGCAAGAAGCTGGTGCGCTAATAAATAAATCAGTTAATTGCTTAAATGGACAGAATTGTTGCAACTTAGTAAGTTTTGTCAGCTGCGTAACAATGAAAGCAATTAAAATGACATGATTTGAATGAACATATAAGTTAAAAAATAAAAATAAAAGAATTAGATAAAAAAAAGAGACACTGATGATGGGGACTGTATACATCCCATTTTCGTATATCCATTTACCGAGCACCTGACATGCGGGCTGCCTATTTTTAGCGTATGTGAAACTATTAGAATTTAATATTTGGCAAAAGAAAAAAGAAAAGGAAAACGAAAGGCAATGCATTTCCCTTTCTTCTCTTCCACTGCATAAAGAGAATAACAACAGTTGTAAGCATAAATAGAAAAGCGGAAAAAAAAAAACATAACTACAAAAAACAAAAAGAATATTTCTTAACCGCGGAAATTCTGCTTCTAAAACCTATTAGATTGTATGGTTCTCACATTTATTTACCTAAAAAAAGAAACATAAATTTAGATAATGATACCCATTCATTGAAACAATAGCATAGCAAACACTTACCAATCCCTGAAAAATAAATAAGTTCCCTAAAATTTTGTGATTAATAAAAACCACAGAATGAAAATATTACTGGTGAAATGATATGAAAGTGTTTGAAAATAATCATCAGTAGGTTGTGGTAAAAGAAGATGATAATAAACATGGGACTGCCTACCGGACAAACATCAGGATATATCAATGAAATTTCCCAAAAAAAATAAAAAATACAAGGATTTGTATTTGTTCTAAATTCTTTCGTATTCTGCAAAATCCATAATGTAAATGAAAAAGACTTGCCAACAAGACATGCATTGACCAATAAAAACAAATCAGGGGTTCTCAAAAAAAGAAAAAAAAAGAAAAAAGAAAAAAGACAGAAAGAGCACAAAAATTATAACATCCAAGTTCCAAGTTATCAACATGTTTTAGAATTTACCTAAAAATATAAAAAAAAGGAATTTAAATTATTTATAAACTTGCAGTAGACAACCAACGTGCTTTGTTTCAAACACAACCACATTTTCTACATTAAAGAGAATACAAATTGAGAACAAAGGTGAACTAAGTCAATTTGATCGTAGTTCTAGTTTTAACAAACTTTCCTGACACAGATCTAAGAACACAGAAACTCGAAAATAAAAGCCACGTACAATTACATGAAATTAATGAAACATTAATCATCACATGCAACGATAAATTCTTACTTCGAACCATGTTTAAGTAATAAAATATACATTCTATGAAGTAAGAAAAATGCAAACTTTCATGAGATCAATTGCAATTTCCAGTTTTCTTATATGAACGCAATGAACATTAACAAGAAAATGCAACATTAAAATCCTTAGTTTGAGACATGCTCGCCATTAACTATCAAAGAAGCTAATCTGAGAGAAGAAAAAGGCACCATTTCATGAGATCAATTCCAATTCTCAATTTCTTACATCATGTGCCACAATCCGTCAAGGCAAAGAAAAGGGGAAAAAAAGAAGAGCAAAACCGAAAAAAGAAAAAAAAACAAAAACTCACGCTATATCGAAGCAAAGAAGGCCTATTTTTCAAAGATGCCGGAAATGACGCATTGCCTTGAACCTTTTGTTGATGCTTCTGTGGCTTCTCAGAAGCAAAAGAAGCAATTCCTGATGCACCAGCTGATGTTGCAGGGAGTGAAGATGCCATGGCCACGGATATATCCTCGAAATCAAAGCTAAAACTGAGATTTGAGTTTTGATCCTAGGTTCTTGTCTAATGCAGAACGCAAGAGAAAACGTGGACTCAAACGTAAACAGCTCAAGTTCCAATTAAATGCGGATAAGATCACTGGAATCAAGCTATGAATAAAGCATAAATCACCAGAGTTCGTCCAAAATGCAAAAAAATCACCAGGATCGAATCTAATCCAGAAGTCCAGCCTAAATTTCCAGACCTTCGATCAAAATGCAGATAAAATCACTGAAAGCGGAGCCAAAAACCAAGGGGCTCACGCTAAATTTTTTAAATTTCTATCAAAATCGAGTGAACAGTTACTCTAATCACAAGCTAACCAAGATTCACGAGAAAATTTCTCAATTTCAATAAAAATTCAGAGGAATCATCTAATCCAAAGCCGAAAGCAGAATTCAAGCCTTAACCGCTCAGAATCCCCCAAAATGAGGAGGCTCAGAGAGAAGTAGCAGAGAAAACCTTGGACTTGCAGACAGAGGATTGGCAATGGCATAGGAATTAGGGTTGGGGTCGAGGTTTATAAATGGTATTAGGGTTAGTTTTGAGCGATGAAACCGAGGAGAGAAAGAGAGAGGGGGGAGAGCTTCATCGTCATTTACGCCCTCTCCTTGGAGGAGGAGTAAACACAGATTTGATGCCAGCGAGGCTAAAATGGGCCCTGCACTTTTTGAGAGGATTTGTAGGAGAAAAATGACTATAATACCCTCTGCTCTAGGCTAGTTTATTTTGGTGCTAATAATAGAGAAATTTACACTCATACAAGTGAGAAAATGATAATAATGCCCTCAATATCGAGATGGCTAAATATGTAAAAAAATAAAGATTTTAAGTCTTAAAAATCGTCCATCTTGTAACACATAATCTAGATCGCCTATTTTTAAGGTTTTTATGTGTTTCTAGATCTATTTAATTTGAACCATTTTTAAGTTTAAAAATTCACAATTAGCAGTGAAAAGGGATTTATGACGCCATCCTCAAAAATTTTGAGAAAAAGGTTACATGAAGTTGTAATTTTAAAATATAGAATTAAACATTCGTCTCAAAAATCTATCGAAAAAAGTTGTCTTGATGTTGGAAAACCCTTTAATTGATCATCTTGATATCGAGATATATGAATATGTATAGATTTTGAGTCCCAAAAATAATATTTTACAACACATTATCTAGACGGTCTATTTTCAAGACTTTTATGTTTTTATAAATCTACTTGATTTGAACTTTTTTGAAGCTTAAAAAAATTCACAATTAGATATGAAAAGGGATTATAAGGCCATCCCAAGCATTTTTTACACCAATGTTACATCTTATGATAAAATTTAAAGCGCTTATTTGTATTGTTAAGGTCGGAAAAACCACACCCCTCCTTAAATTGGCCTTTTCATTATAAAAATTTTACTTTGCTTTTTCTCATTATGCTTCTAATCCAGGCCTGCAGGGTCTCGAGTGACACCAGTTTTGGACTAAATTCTTGAAAAAAATAATTTGCTATGGAATGTCAGAAGTGATGGCCTTAAATATCTAAAGTGAAGGTTGCAAGATCATAATTAATTAGACTTCGTACTTTCGCTTGGGACTTTGAAAGTCTAAAATTAGAACACTTAAAGGCCTTTAAGGTCCAAAGACAAATTCCATTGTCATTTCGGACTTTGGTATTTTTTTTTTTTTTAAAAAAAGATAATAAAAAATACTAGACGCAAAATATAAAAAAAATATATACATATTTTTTTTAATAAAAATGAATATTTAGGGGGATAAGAGCATAAATTTCTTGAATAGACCAAAGTAAAGGCCCTTGATTTAGGCTTGGGATTCAACTTCATCATCGAAACGAAATTTCTTCAGCCGATTCGATTTGGAGGATAATTTTAGAAATAAAAAGTATAAAATAATAATTTTTAAAATTCATCTGTCTATATGAAGTATATTTTAAGAAGTGTATTTAGAGGGTAGTTCTTTACGAAATTTTGGTGAAGTCACATCTCAAGACAATATACTTCATGGACTAGAAGTCATTGAGATGACCTACCACAAGCAGTGTTCAAAAGATCGAATCGGCCAAGGGCCAGGTCTGAGTAACCGGTAAACAACCAGTCTAGCTGTATAGGTCTTAGTCGGTTAAAAAAGTATTAAAAAATAAAAAATACAAAAAAGTTCCAAAAAAAATATAGAAAGTATATTTACAGCATGATTAAACAAAGCATGTCCAAATGAAGTTGAATAGTGAAAAATAGATTTTAAAAAATTCGATTTGTGCCGAGGGATATTTTTTGAAATTTTTCAAAAAAGATGAGAAAATGTAAAAGTAAGTATTCATGGCCTAAATACTTAAAAATCTTTGTCAAAATGATAAAAAAGATTTCAAAAACACATTACAAACTCATGCTATGTATACTTCTGTCCAATACATACTGAGGGTCTTATATGGCCATAATAAAAATTCGGTTTCGATTTCAGTTACCTATATTTTTTTTAAAATAATTTTTTAAAAATTCCCAGTCAGACCAGCAAAATCGGTCAAAGCCGGATCAGCTTGTATCCAGTTTTGATTTGACTAGCCATTTTCGAGTTGGATCGGTCGAGGTTGCAACATTGCTTACAATCAGCTGAAGCGATTCTAAGAGCATTTGTTGTCATGTATTAGGCACAATGAAATGATATACATTGGGCTGATATGGGTTGCATTAAGGGGGGAAATTGCTCAAATGCCTCTGATTTTGTATAGGTGCAAACTTATAAAATAAATGATTGAAATGCCCTTCAACTCCAGCTTAATGTAATCTGCCTTGCGATAACACTTGCTTACAATAATTGGATGAAATGGGAAAACAAGTAAATCATCATTACGAGCCTCATCTCGACTATTGGGCCTGTTACGAATCTTGTTCTAATATTCTGCTTAATCAAAGGTTATATCTTCAGTCAGATCATAAGTTATCATATCTTTTCTCACTACTTTCATATGTTTTTTTTTAGGCTTTTCCTTGCCATTTTATAGCTTTCCACTTGAACCAAATCGCCTCTTCTAACCGGTGTTGTATTAAGGGCAGGTTTCACATGACCAGCACTTAAGTTTGCTTTCCTTCATCTTATTGCCTATTGGAGCCACCCGTAAGTTCCCTAGTATGTATTCATTTTGAAGTCTATCATTTATTACCTTGCCGCTCATCCATCTCAACATCATCATCTTAACTACATTCATCCTATAGATTAAATACAAGCCCTAATTTTGGATACATAGTAGTTGATTCAAGTGAAAATTACTAAAATACCTTGATCGGGTGCTCTGAGGAAGAATAATAAAATTGCCCTCGATGCTGAAATTGAAAAACATGTTTCAAATTTGGGAAGTGGTACAAATGACTGAAATCTCCCCATTTGGGCACATGGTTCTCGTTTTGGGGGGCTTGATTCTAGGTTTAAAATTGTGCGGGTAACTTAAAAGATGATGAATCTTATAAGAGCATTTGATACAAGAAAGTTACAATCACTCTTTTAGATTGGGTATATAAATGTTTACATTTGATACGAGACCACCATCATTTCTATCGCTAGATGTTAAATCACATGGCTAGCAATATATAAACAGTGTTCCCAAGAAAAAACTAAAAAACAAATATATATATATATAAATTTTTGAAAAAAAATTTTAAAAAAAAAAAAACAAGAAGAAGGAGATAACCTAGTGGATAAGAAGGATTCTGACTTTTATGTGCAAAAAGTCGCTTATGTGTTGCGATAGAAGCCAGAAGGCATTTATGCAAGTGGAGTGGGGGTGGCAAAGGACTCGGGGGTTGATCTGATTCCGGATATGGGTTCGAAAATTGGACCCGGCGGGTCCTCCGATCCAAATCTTAGACCCGAAGATTATTTGGATTCAGGTCTGGATTAGATCGAGTCAAGGTCTGGTAATATTTTTTAGGTCCCAATATATAAAATATATTTAAATACATTAATAGTTTACTTTTTTGGTTGCATCTTATCGGATCAAGTTTGGGACTGGGTCCAGGTTTGAGTCCCATATCATTTTTTTTTCAGATTTGAATCTAGGTTCGATCGAACCCGGTCCCAACCCGTTGCCACCCCTAGAGTGGAGACAACAAAAAGAGGACTAAAATGTCCCAAATTCTGATTGACACGGTTGGCTAACCTTCATAAAATCAATGCTTTTATATGGGGCAATATATATATATATATATATATATATATATATATTTTGGGTAAATCAGATGGGAAGAGATCCCCTACATATGATTGAAATAGAACTTAAGACGTCATAATGTCGCACCCACCATCTTTACCACCTATGCGTTGAGTCTATTCCTAATATCTTGAACGGCTTGAATCGCATTGGTATAAAAAAAAGCCGGAAAATCAAAAGAAGGCGAGGCGGGATCTTGGTTCGCTCCTATGGCAGAGGTTGCTCGTTGCTAGAATGCTTTAAGGTTAGTGTGTTAGTAGAATCCTCTTCTTGCGTGGCTTGAGCATTCGTTTTGGACACTGGGTGGGCGGCGTGTTATCATTTCCAAAGCCATGGAACAGCACCGGAAAACAAGCACAATCTGGTATGTTGTATGTACCAAGCACGCATGTTCAATTCGTCCCATGGGTCAACCTTCAACGGAGTAGGGTTCCGGGCTAGCTATAGAGCAGGCTTGTGAACTAGGGACCCCACATATCTTTATCGACCGGAGACGATGGTAAGGCTTCTTCAGCCCGTCGTAGCAAGGCGAGTCCCACCCAAGTCAAGATAGAATCCGTCTATCTAGCCTCGCCTCTCTAAAATAAAGAGCATGCATATGCAATAAAGCTCATGCATATGCAATAAATAAGTTTAAGAACCAAGAATGATAATTTTTTGAAGAAAATTTATAGACCATCTTTAAAATGGTCGTTTTCTGTCTCGAGGGGCGCAAATGCAGATATGCGTCCCCCAATGCATTTTATTTTTATTTCTAATTCTTATAAAAGCTCACCAAAATTTATGTGTCATTGGTGGTTCCCAGTGGGGCTTACGATGCTTTTCAAGGAAAATGACTAAAATACCTCTTATTGAAATCGCATGGGGGGCATGATGGTCATTATGACCTCCAAAATTCAAGAGGTTATGCATTTGACATTTTTAGAATGAGTCATCATAATCTTTGTCAAGGTCATTTTGACGTTCAAAAGGCCATGGAGCTCAGCTTTCAATCGAACCAGTTTCCCTCTTTCTTCTTGTCTGTCGAGGATTGAGGGTCCACAACAATCTTTTCTCCCATTTGAGGAGCATTCAGGAAGTTGCAATCACTTTTTCTCCTTTCTTCATCTTTCCATGTCATTCTTAGTAGTAGTCAAGGGAGCTCAGCCCTTTCTGGCTTTTTTTTTTCATTGTCATGGGAAAGATTAATTTCTCTTTTCCTAATTCTTTTGCCTAAAGATTTTTCTTATGTTTTTGGTAATTAAGTGGGGAAGCCAGCCCCTACCTATTTTTTCAAATAGTTTAACAGTTCGTTTTTTTTTTTAAGGTGTTAGTGGGTGATGTCAGTAAAAATGAAAACAACAAGGTGGTGACTAGGGTGTAGGGGTGCTACCACCACAACTCCAGTCCCTTTCCTAATTGATGTAGTCCCTCTCATAGAACTTGCCTATGAATGTCTTTT